GAACATACATTTCATAACAAACTAGATCTATGTCAAACTAGCTTGCTTCATGATTCAGATCGGTAATAACAACGGGAACAACAAGGCGTGTAGTGTTGATTTGAAACTGTTTGACTGAAGTGTCCAATTGAGACAATTAGCTCATTTTCCCATAAAGACAATTGTGGCCACTAACACAGGCCAGAGTGGAAGCGTGGAGTTATGAAAAGTGAGAGAGAGAGAGAGAGAGAGAGAGGGGGGGGGAGAGAGAGAGAGAGAGAGAGAGAGAGAGAGAGAGAGAGAGAGAGAGAGAGAGAGAGAGAGAGAGAGAGAGAGACTCAAAACGGGAGGACACTGGAATAGCGAGCTATAATTTTAAATCTACAGTTTACCAAATTATATATTATTTTCTAACACTGAAATTTGAACACTGGAATAGCGAGCAGTTCCTGTGAAGAGGTACTAGAATCTAGATCTAGATCTATTATGAATTATTATTTCTAAAGGGTAATTTATACTAACTTACTTTACATATTTGCCTCTGCGTTCAACAGGCTTGGGACTGTCATCATACGTCCCATTGTGAAGCATATCCGAACAGTTGTTTGAGAAGAGTCTTTGTCGTATCAGAATCGACAGCCGCCAACCACGACACCAACCTTAATTCCCTTTCCGTGTAACAAACTCCTCCATGGCTCTTGACAGCGATAGCAAAAACACTGTGAAGTGCGTAGAACTAACATAAAAACAACCAAAACACGTCAAAGACACTATCACTTAACTTTTGTGTGTGTTGATTTAAAATATGGTTGCTGTTGTGTTCTTTTTTTCGGCCCTCCAAACGGTAATAAAGGGGGGGGGGGGGGGGGGGGGGCTCTCGTGGTCTGGAGGTTAAAGTGTTCGTCTCATATTCAATTGGTCCCGGGTTTGAATCCGGATAGCGACAGAACATTTTCTCCACTAAAATTTTATCATTTCACATCCTCCCCTGTTCTCTAACAATGTTCTGTCGTCTGCGTACGTCTCCATGTTCTTTTCTTTCACTTTCAGCCACACCCCTGATCTTACGGTAGGTAAGATCTAACTCCTATAACCCTTCTCGGATAAGGGCAAAAAGTCTCGGAAATCCCGTGTGCAAGTTAAGGGCAAGCTAAAGATCCCTTGGTGGTCCAAAATCGATAAGAGTAGGCTTCGGCCACCACCCGAGGAAAATTCAAAATTTCCTACCAACTGAAAATGTTTAATGTGTCCCGCGCGCTCACTGCGCACCAAGATTCGACTTTTTAACTCCAACATCAGGTCTGTGCTCCTCTACGGCTGCGAAACTTGGAAAACAACGAAGACAGTACTGAATAAAGTCCAGACTTTCATCAACAGATGTATGAGGAGTATTCTAAGAATTAAGTGGCAGAATAGAATAAGAAATGAAGAGCTGTGGGAAAGGACAGGACAAAAGGATATAGAAGTAGAAATAGGACTAAGAAAGTGGCGATGGATGGGACACACCTTAAGAAAGCCCAGCGGAAACATCACAAGACAGTCACTGCAGTGGAACCCACAAGGAGCACGAGGCAGGGGTAGGCCACGGGAAACATGGAGGAGATGCGTGGAAAGGGACATGAGAGAAATGAAGCTCACTTGGAACGAGCTTGGAAGGATGGCTCAGGACAGAGATAAATGGAAGGAGCTTGTATGTAGCCTATACCCTGCCTGGGGTGAAAGGCATTGGTGATGATGCGCGCTCATATGACCTTATGCATTTGCGAGCGCCATAAAACACTTACAAACAACACACACAAAAAACAAATCTGACCCTTGCACATTTTCATGCCCGCATACGCACACCGAATAAATACTCGACTACACTCAAACTGCATCATTCAGACAATAAATTATGGATATTAACTTAACTAGGACAGAGTTCAGGAACAGTTGTTTGTTTTTCTCCTAAAGGTGACCTATTTTGGGAGAGGGGACGAGTTCAGGAACCCATGTATGCATGAAAACAGACGTGGACAAGGCAGCGTGTTTAGAATTTATGTCTACTTGGTCTCGTTGCAATTATACATGTGTGTAGTTACTGTTATTGTACGGTATTAGTCTTGCGGTCCAATTGGCGCAATTTAGATCATAATTATTATTATCGTAGGCCTACAGGCAAATGAAGCATCACAGCAAATAGACGGAGATGACAATGGTAGATTAAAAAAAAAAAAAACCTTCCCACTTGATAGCCTCATCCAATCCCCATGCTTTCAGCATGCGTGCATAGATAAAAGGCATGAACTGAGGCGTAACCATCATACTGCAGACGTCGGCCATGTTGTTATCGAGCCAAGTCCAGAATTCTCATCCAAATTGATGACAGATATGGTTCTAGCTTAAACACCCTTCCCAAAAGGAAATAGTCCCAAATGCAGTGTTCATCTCTTTCATGTCATATATATGACAGAGCCATACCGGCATCTGTGGTGAAGCAGCTATGCGCTTCGCCGTCGCACGTCAGAGTCATGAGTTCGATTCCCGTGTGGGAAGAATTGTTAGCCAGTATCTCCGTCTTTCTGCTGGGGCACTGTATCCCTCTTAGCCCAGGTTCACCGTGACAGGAGAACTGCTTCAATTCTTTCGCTCAGGTTGAATGGGATGCCAGAAGGAGAATAGAAGCAAAAACGTTGCCACTTGGGAATCGAACTCGTGTCCTCTGTGTGCAATGAAAAAAACTAGCCATAAAACACCTGAAGCCAGTTGTCTGTCATTCCTCTTTTTTTTCTTTGTGTGTGTGTAGGGGGGGGGGGGGGGTAAGTGTTTTGCGGCGCTCGCAACTGCATAAGGTTATATGAGCGCGCAGGACACATGAACCATTTTCAGTATGTAGGGAATTTTGAATTTTGCCCGGATGGCGGCCGAAACCTACGCTTATCGATTTTGGACCGCCAAGGGATCTTTACTCAAATGCAAGAAAAGACCAAGGAACTCAACAGCCTACCAAAGAGTGTTGGCCTACGTATACACCCGGGCAAGTCGAAAGTAGTGAAGCTAGGAAAAGTGTCAAGCCCTGCTGTGACAGTGGAAGACACTCCCCTAGAAGAAGTGGACTCCTTTACCTACTTTGGAAGTGTCATCGATGGTAAAGGTGGAACTGAGGCAAATGTAAAAGCAAGAACCGCCAAGGCAAGATCAGCATTCCAGCAGTTATCAAAAGTCTGAAAAGCAAGCAACATCTCACTGCTCACCAAGATTCGACTCTTTAATCCCAATGTCAAGTCTGTGATCCTCTACGGCTGCGAAACTTGGAAGACAGCAAAGACAGTGCTGAATAAAGTCCAGACTTTCATCAACAGATGCTGAATAAAGTCCAGACTTTCATCAACAGATGCTGAATAAAGTCCAGACTTTCATCAACAGATGCTGAATAAAGTCCAGACTTTCATCAACAGATGTATGAGAAGTATCCAAAGCATTAAGTGGCAGGATAGAATAAGAAATGAAGAGCTGTAGGAAATGACAGGATAAAAGGATATAGAAGTAGAAATAGGACTAAGAAAGTGGTGTTGGATGGGACACAAGTTCAGAAAGCCCAGCGGAAACATCACAAGA